TAACTTTGAATATTGGCTTCTAAATCTCTTGCTAAAGCACTTTGCATATATTAAGATAAACCGATTAGTGAAAGCAACACTGCCAAAGCACTCTGCATATAATAAGATAAATCAATTTTTCAAACCTGTTCACAATGTATGTTAGCTGTTATCTCTGATAATTGTGTAAGTTCCAGTCCAGTGTCATGACATCCAATACCCATTTCCCTTAAGAAGTCTTCATCTCCTATTTGATGCAGTCCTTCGTTGTGAACCTGCATAAACATGCAACAAACTGTTATTTTTAGGTGTAAGAAGATATTTTGCATTGCAGTCAGTCAGTGGGCAGTGACATTTGTGGTGGTCATCTAAACTTACAACCAAAACAAACAAGCAAAAAAGAAGGGTGTCTGCCTCTATGGCAATTCTGTCATGTGCAAGGAATTCCACAAGCTGATCAATTTGTGATCAAGTTGCCTCTGAGTTCTTTACAAGTTTCCCCAAAATCCTATACAAGTTACCTCTAAATCATATACTAGTTGTCTCTTAATTCTACCACTTAAATGCAGTTTACATAACTCATGATGTACCATCCTACCCTTAAATGCAGGTGAATGTCTTACTAAATTTTTTAGGCTCTGTGAAAATGTAAATGTGACTTTGACATACCACTTTGTTCCTCACTCCTTGATGGGCTTATAATACTAATAATTAGTTTGTATATATACATGTATTTATATAAGTAACAATACGTTACAGTTGCACTTTACTTTGGATAACTATAGAGCTATAGCAACAGCAACAAAGAAGACATAAGCAAGATGGTTACGGTTCAGGTGTTTCAGTGAACTGATGCAATGAGAAAAAGGAGATGAAGGCAAGAAATAGAATAATCTTGCTGGTTAGTACATTTTTTCTAGGCAGATCATATCCTTTGCCCTTGTTCATCTTCTTGTGTTTTATCTAATTTTCGCTCTTCTCTCCACTCTAATTCCCCTTCTAGATCCAGATTGATCGGGGGTTTCTTTCTTGTTGTAGGGTGTAGTGGCAGAGCTGTAATTTCTGTGTACTGTTTTATTGGGCCGAATAACTGCTTTGTGGGCCGAATGAGTAGTTATTTGATATAGCGGGTATCGGATCTTGCACCCGTTAAGGTTTGGCGGGCCCGGTAGCTGCTTTGGTTGGGTTTGCGGGTTCATTTGCGGACCCGTTTTGTTGCCTGCTACAGAAAACAACATAGAACAAATCTGACCCTTGGATGCAGATCCAAGGGCCCTGGACGTCGTCTGAGATGGTTGATATATTTCAGGCGACTGAAATATAGCGACTCCCATAAAAATTAACAAAACTAAAAAAATAACGACATCAACTGGGCCTGTGTGCTATAACCCCGTGCACACCAGCCGGTATCGAGCGCCAGGCAGATGTTGCGGTTCTCGTTGAGAGCGGTGACGAAGACATGATTGGCCGATCCCGCGGCCGCCGTCGGCGCGCGGCCAATGTAGCGGAGGCAGAGCACCTTCCACACGGGATTCGCACGTGGGTCACGAATCGTTTAGGACGTTCACAGGGCTCTCAAGGTGAAATTTCGGAATTAAATGGCATGAACTCAGTGGTCTAAATTCTCTTATAGCTGAAATTAAATACGCGGCTCATCTATTGATCTGGATGAAGATGTTAACGATTTATTATGTCACCGCACTGATAAGGAGCTAGATTGCTCGATGTCGAGCTTAGCCGACTTTTAGGTCGGTTGGCTTCTAGGGTTGTTCGCACTTGAACCTTGTGCCTCCAGCAATGAGCGCGATACGTAAGACACATCGCCGGAGAAGTCTCATCCGGAGCGCGATACGCAAGACACACCGACGAGATCTCTCGAGTCCTGAAACCCCACACGTCCGGAGAGAGACCCGTCGGGACGTGCGGTGGCTATGGGCTGTCCTAGCCGCTCTCGATCTTCGTTGTCGACTCGTCGTCGATCCACGAGCCATGCAGCACCAACGAAGAACAAGAGAAGAGGTAGATGGGAAAAGAGGATAAAGAGATGTAGTAGATTGACTTTTACGTCGATTATATGTTGGATACCTCAATCGGTTATGATCCGCCAATATATATAGATTGGGTGGTCTTATTCTAGTAGAAAACCGTCCCTAGATGCAATCTTTAAGTTTCCCACAAGTTTGGATCGAGCTTGGACTCTCTTGAATTCGGACTGCAAAAAGTCTGAAGTTCCGGCATGGGTGAGAAGTTCAGCCTTGCGAATGTCGGAAGTTCCAGCAAGGGGTTGGAACTTTCGGCATGGTGACATCTTTCCAAGGGCGTGGCGTGACTCCTTCGTCCACACTCAAATTGGACGTTCCATATAGTTTTTTTACTATATCGACGAGAGGAACGCAATGGTGAAGTTCATTCTATATTTTGACAACTCTACGAAATGGAAAATTTGGTTGTCAACAAAAGTAATGGTTTGTGGAGCTATATCTTTGTATGAAATTGATAGATTTGTTAATTGCGTATTTTTATGAGGGTGGAGCCAGAAAATTAATGGAAATAAATTTTATGCGACACCATCGCATAGCACCCATGTGCGACACCCTCTCATCACGTAACATGTGTCCTGCTTGCTATATCTCCTTGTTTGGATTCACTGGTTCACGAAAAATGCAGGCTCGGCTCAACCGCACACCATTAGTGTCTGCCTTGTCGGGGGCCTGGAGACGAGAGTGTGCTGTGGGACGGTGTCGTAGAGAATTTGTTTCCAAAATTAACATAGAGGGACCATTGTCAAAAACAAACAATGGTTAGCTGACAAGAGGGGCTATGTTCACCTAATACACTTGAAATGGTACAAGAATTAAATGTGGGTCTCTATTTTAACTGGAGGATAGCCCCCATCACTCCACCTCTGCCCACAAGATTGGGTTTGCATGACGATGGGAGTCACCTTGAACTCCGAATTTGGATTTAGATTTAGATTATTGACACGTAGGCCGCACATACAAATATGTTCCTTACGTCCTTTGATAACATGTAGGCTACACATACAATAATGGTTTATAGAGCTGTTCGGCAGGACTGAAAAATAAGTCAAAATATTGTTCTGGCTGATTGTTGTGAGAGAAAAATACTGTTCTATCTGGACATGAACAGTGTTTCTGTGAGTGCCTGAGCTCAGCCAGCCAGCCGAACGAAGCCATACCTGTGTATAGAATTGATAGATTTGTTAACTGCGTGGTTTTCTAACGAGGTTGGAGCTAGAAAATTGACATAGATATCTCGACCACATGATTTTTTAACGAGGGCGGCGTTTCGCGTGTGGCCGCCAGCTGCGCCCAAGTCTGGCGGACCAGCGGCTCTCCCGACTGGTGGTTCGGCGACTCCCATGCGTGGCCTGACAGCGCCCATGGCTGCCCGACGGCGCTTGTGAGTGGTGAATTTGACGTTGTTTTCCAAGCGCGACATATATGGAGACGGAATGGATTTTGGTGCGCTCACAGCCGATTCCGCGCAGTGACAATCCCATCGTACAACGCTCTTATGCTTGACGAGTCACGAGATCATCTAGGAGCATGAGCCTTTGTCATCACCTCACGAAGAGGTTGGCTCCTCTCTCTTTTCTTCATTTAGTGTGCTAGACAAGGGTGTTTTGGAGACAACATTCCAAAGGCTGTTGTACGTGCCCTTAGGGGATGTTTGCCCTACTTGGGTTTGTGTGATGATGGAAGTCACCTTGGATTATGGATTTGGACTCAGATTCAGCCTGTTCGTTTGGCCTGTGCTTGTCGTATACGATCGTAAATTTCCAACCGACAAAAGATTTTTCTCTCACACACATAAAAAGAGTGATCTTCTTCACTTAACCAAAGAACGTATCTAACCAAAGCTAACCGAACAGGGTCGACATGCAGGGATGGACGTAAAGATTTCTAGAACAGGGTCGTCATGGAGATGGCATTCCAAAGGCCGTTGTACATGCCCTTAGGGGGGGTGCCTCCCCTATCTCTCTACCTATGCGCATGAGAGATTGAGTGTGCGTGACGATGGGAGTCACCTTGGATCCCGGACTTGGATTCAGATTATTGACATGTAGCGATGGACGTAATGAAGGTTTCTAAAAGGGAGAGATTTTTTTGTTGCTTCTTTAATATTCATTAAGTATAATAGATGGATAAAGTCGCAAAAAAAGTTATAATAGATGGATATATAGATAATTGGATAGACCACATCATACAAAAAAAGAGAAATAAATTTAAATAAAGTCATAAAGATAATTTGACTTTTGACAATTTGCTAGCGCAATCTTTATTCAGAACAACACATATTTGTGACCGGAGAGAGCTCGGGGCGCACAATTTAGTCATCTCCACAAAGTGTACTTGTGTTACATACGACCATCTCATCTGATGTCATGCAATAATATAGTGCCACATTCGCGTAATTCAGGTTTAATAATAATTCTGAGAAGTTGGACTAAACGGCAGCTTCCTACTCCTACGTAAATAAATTTCAGCCCCGTCTTTTTCTAATGCAATGGTATGCTCTGGGCATTGTAGAAGACATTGGCAGGACCTATACGTGCCTTGGCCCGGACGAGCCGGTCGAAGTTCTCCACGGTGAAGTAGGCCGCGCCCCAGGTCGCCCGCGCATGGCTCACCGACGACGCCAACCTGACCGGGCCGAGGCTCTCGTCCCAGCCCATGAGGTCGATGTCAATGTAGTTCACGTACGCGCGGCGTGGGTTGGAGGACACGTGCGGCGTCATGTACCCGTAGTAGTACAAATGACCGGAGCCATTCTATTGGCATATTCGCTGGTTGGTTTCTGGACTGATTTGGGTTGGCCGGTGCTGGTTTACTATGAGAAGAAAATACTGTTGGCTGAATGATTTGGGCTGGCTGAAACCAACAAGCGAACAGGCTGTATGACGCCACCGGCCTCGTCGGCGTCCCAGTCCCAGGTGACGCCGTACTGAAGGGCGTACAGGTTGCCCGCGCGGTGCGGGAACGGCGTCGCCGTGGCGCTCAGTCGTGCCATGGCGCCGGCGGCCCATTGGAGAGGTACCGGAGCATCGCCGCCAGGGAGTCCCTCGAGATGGGCTGCTGCACGTAGTCGGACTTGTTCTTGCCGTAGTACTTGGTCTTGGACACCCTGCTGGTGAGCTCGTCCACCGAGCTCAGCCCGGCGAGCCGTGCTGCCGACTCGACCCAGCTCATCTCCGACACCTCGGACTCGGCGAAGCCCAGCTCTGGGAACCTCTCGTTCAGCACCGACATGGCCAGCTCCTTCGGCCCAAGAACCAGCCCTGTGAATGTCACGTTACGATGATCTCGATCTTCCTGTGATAATGAGCTACTACCGATGGTGAGGGAGACCGAGAGGTAGAACTCGTCAGGCAGATCAGGCCCGACGAACTGCCACCTGTGCACGAGCCCCGCCATGGCGTCCACCGAGCCTTCCCGTCTCGGCGTGAACACCGTCACGGTGTCGGGAATGGGGACGAGGCGGAGCTTCCAGGCGTAGACGACTCCCCAGCTGCCGCCGCCACCGCCGCGGATGGCCCAGAACACGTCCTCGCCCATGGCTCTGCGGTCCAGGACCCTGCCCACCGCGTCGACGAGGAGCGCGTCCAGCACGTTGTCGGCCGCGAGCATGAACTTTCGGGACAGCGGCCCGAAGCCGCCGCCGGAGATGTGTCCGCCCAAACCGATCGTGGAGCACGACGCGGCGGTGACCGCCAACGACCAGTTGGAGTTCGACGACGATGCGAGTGCCACCGCGTGATAGACCTCTTCTAGCGTCGCGCCGGACTCCGCCCACGCCGTGGCCGACGCGGCGTGGACACGGACCTTGTTCAGGTTCATGAGGTCGATCACGACGAAGGGCGCTTTGCCGTCCAGCACGCCGCCGGAGACGGTGTAGGACTGACCCTCGTAGCTGTGCCCGCCGCTGCGCACGCGGATGGCCAGCGACGCACTACGCGCGCAGAGGACCGCGCGCTGGAGGCCGCGCCGGGAGGTGGGCAGCACGACGGCCTCCGGCTTGCGAAACTCCGGGGCTGCGAAGCGGAGGTTCTGGATGGAGAAGTTGAAGATGGTGGCGTAGCCTGGAGACCCGGCCATGGAGAAGTTACGGACGCCGGAGGCCCGTAGGCAGGACGACATGGACCTGGCGCGCACGCCATTGTCGCGCGGAGACAGCGATTCGATGGCATGGCGATGCGTTGACAAGAGTATGCTGAGAAGTAGGCCTAGAAACACTAAGGGCTCGGTCGTTTGGGACAGTACGACGCCAGGATTTATTCCAGCCGATGATATCTTAGAGGCCATTCCCCAGGAAGCCAACGGGTCCTAAGGAAGTAGGTGTATTGGTGTACATGGTGATGGTGCTCTCACTCTAGTGCTTGTCCAAACAGTAGCATTCTTGAGTTCAGCTAGTTTCCTTATAGAGAGAATTCTTTATTTGGCACTGAAACAAATCGTTCTTTCGTATTTGGCACTGAAAATTTTGAACTTCCTTATCTAGCATCAACTTAAAAATTCCTTCCGCATATGGCACTTCCGTCCATTTCAAGCAGTAACTGTGTCAAGTGCCACCTAAAATGATATATATATCCTTATATGTAACAGGAACGTGTAGTGCCAGATAGGAAAAGAATAAATGGACATAATATCAAATAAGGAAAACATAAATATGACAAATATACTTGATGCACAAGGTTCATAAATCTGACCACATTGTCAGTATATCTACATAGAGAATCACATTACAGTTCACATGTCCAGGTTATGCATACATTATCAGGTTCATAAACATAAACACATAAAGGTTCATACATAGAGGGTCTAAGTTCATATTACAGTTCATAGAGCATATGCCTTACACATTGCCAAGCACATCTACATAGAGAATCACAAGCTCAACCTTCTCTTGCTTCTTGTGCTATTTGCAGGACTAGCAAGGTTAGCTGTTTTGTTTCTGGTGCTCATTGCAGGGCTGTCAAATTTTTTCAGGTTTGAAGCAAGCTGTTTCTTGGTCATTTTAGCCTTTTCCTTTGATAGAGATTGAAACTCGGTGGAAATTGGCTTTGGTTGATTGGAGCCGCTTTTTGACATGCACATGTACATTCAAACTAGGATGACATCCTTGCTCTTCGTCGACTACAAAATAATATTCAGAAATACGAGACAAGATTGGCAAATTCATACTACAGAGGAAAGACATCAACTGGCACAAAGGTGACAGTCAGTTACTTGGTTAACAGCTGATTCCAGCATGTGTAGCACCAACCCAACTTGGCAGCATAGAGACTACAACAGAGAATTGTAACTGGCATTTTCTACAGCCTCTGCTAGTAAAACTTCGGTTGTATTGTTCTCAAGTTGATTGTACTGTTCTCAAGTTGATTTTACATATATACAAGCAAATAAAGAATTCTCCACAGGCCTGGAATTTCAGAAGCAGCTCAAAACAGAAGGCATCCGGTGGTTACAACGGCCTTTTGTGATCATGCTTAGAAAACACATCAAGTTCTTGCGCATATCATGTGAACTGCCATAAACCCAGAATGCATAGTATGGCATATAAAAAGAGAAGTCGTATAAACAGTACCGTGCTACTTATCCATCATACACGGGCTATAAAAATCCAAATATGTTGAGAGAAATTCCTACTTCTCAAAATCATAAGATTAATCAAAATGCTAATAAACAAGTTCAAGCCTTTGATTTTAGAACATTTTTGTTTCGTTATTTAATGGATTTATTTCCAGATAGAAATGTTCTCTATATATGACAAACCAATTTCTTTAATCCTAGGTGGCCAAGTCAAGATACCAGCATAGAAGGGTGATTCTCTCTCTGTGTATATTCTGTGGGGGGGAAAATGCAAGAACAACAAATTAGTCCTCTGTGAAGCCTTCTCCCTTACTATTTGCCATCGATTTTCAGTGTTTTATCTCATCCACTTAAGGCCAAACAGACAACCATCTTTGGTGCATGGGCAGAGTTCCATGGCACCAAAACATTCCTTAGAAATCAAGGATATTTTGTTGTCACTTGCAAGTTGCAACATTGGCATTACAAAATTGTCTCATACTGTAGAAAGTTTCTTCTCAGTAGCAATTTGGCCACTAACGAAACAGGGAAGTGCCAAACAAGTATCAATGACTAGTGTATAGGTAAAACAATGGTTGAAATAGAACATCTTGGGCAAGCACGGTTAGAGAAAAGGGAAAGCTAATCCTGTCAAAGTTGAAAGTCCCAGTAATTAGATAATTACAAGGACCTAGCAGAAGAACAACTATGTTAAGTACACTCTCCAGTGTGAAGATAGTGAGTTACCTTTTTGATGCTCTAGAGCTGGAGTTACCATGTTTCTCATTTTGCTTGCTTGTAGTCTCCATACTTTGGCTATGGTGAGAGAAGATTGGTAATTAGGTTCTCTAATTAGATTGGAAACCATGTTTCATTAAATAAAATAGAAAAGAGATCTTAATACCAGTTTGAACTCTAATTAGATTGGGAAACCATGTTTCATACAACAGCATGTCTTTCTTCAGGTTTTAGGGGATAAACCCAAGTTGTAGTTCAATGCAGCATATGTTAAATTAGGCAATAAGCTAGCAAGTTTGTTATAGGCCAATCACTGCAGTGTTAGATTCTATGAGAGACGCTCACGGGCACGTGTGCAGCAAGGTGTGATGTGTATCTTGCTGCCAGAGGAGGACACTAGAGTTTTTCCCCCTCAAACAGGCACAAGAATTGCATATCATTTCATTAATAATAGGTGGAAAAGGAACCCGCTTACACGCAGAAAGACATTAGAATTTTACAGTACCTTTTCAAACATTATTTAACAAAACCTGAAACAGAGCTATGGTTCCGAATGGCACTGCATGTTCTTCAACGAAAGGGCTGCAGCCCTGTACCAAGCAGCAGCAGCCATGGCCCCAGGATCAGGAGCCGATGCCAGCTTGTCAGCAGCAATGGAAAGTATCACTAGAGGTTTTACCAGTGACATATTTAATTTGGACTTGAAATATCAAAAGTGTGTTCTAAACTCCACTCCTTAGGCTTCCTTTCTTGTTTTACCAGTGACATATTTAATTTGCTCATGTTTAGACCTGGGTCTGGATCATGTACTGGTAACTGGTTCATAGTAATGTTTGTAGCTATTCAGTTATTTCCTATAACTAAAAATGAAGGGCAACCAAATTTTTAGAAAGCAAAGCTGGTTCAGGGTACCCCATTTTTGCTAAGTTGCTCTGAATTGTGAACAAGCTGGTTCAATAATATGATATATTCTGTTGCTCCTAAAAAGTAGTGCCAGTACAAGCCTTGAGGTTAATAGTGCATATGTTGCTACTGTGATCAAATTTCAGGTGCCCCAGGTAGTTGTTCTTCAGACTTGCACTCTCACGTCAGGCTTGCTGCTAGCTGGAGGGCTTCTGTTTAGCCAGGTAAACACTCCAGTATTCTCTGGAAATACTTCATTCTTGAGATGGTTTTGATATGTTTGATAAAAATCCATGAATAACTTGAGTTAGCTGCTGTAAATGTGACACTAACTGTAGAACTGGCTACAAGCAGTTATGTGTCTTCCTTTTTTTTAAACAGAACTTGGACTTATTAGTGTTTGGATCAGTGTCATAGTATTATGTGACACTAACTGTAGAACTGAGCTTGCTGTTAGACTCGTAGTGTTTGGATCAGTGTCATAGTATTATGTGAAACACTCTTAAGTACATTCCAAAACGTACGAAATCGATGAAAGGAAGAGCCGCAGTACTCACTCTTCGGTGGCAGCGGAGCCTTCTCCACGACGGGCTCCGGCATCGCAAGCCGCGTGGTGGTGACAGCGGCCGCCTCCCGCGCCATTGGACGAGTCCGCGCCACTGGGACTGCTACTTGGGGAGGCCGCCACACCCAGTCCGCCGCGCGGTCTGGTCGGTGCTCCGGTGGGCGAGCTCGCCCCGCCGCGTCTGCCCCGCCGCGCTGCGAGCTGCCGCCAATGCTGCCGGGCGAGGCCGCCCCCCGCGCACCACGAGCCACGAGATGGGGCCAGCGCCGGGCGGCGAGCCCACCCCGCCGCCGCGTTCCCCGCCGGACCCGTGCCTCGATCTGCGACCATGGGGCGAGCTTGGCTGACTATGGGGCGCCTCGAGCTAGGGGACCCGCCCCGCGAGTTCCTGGGCACTGGCGGCCGCCGCCTCCTTTTCCCCATCCTCATCTCCTCCGGCCTCCATCCTCTCTAGGGTTTCGGTTTGAGAGGTGTCTCTTGTTTCTCTTTCAGAACAGAGGAGCGACGGGAGAGACCGAGAGAGGAGCGACGGGGAGAAGGGGAGATGGACGGACGCACGAGACCGAGGGCATTTTGGTACTTCTAATGAAAAGCTGACATGGTCTTGCTGGTCAACTAACGGAGGGACGCCTGAAATGGACGGAAGTGCCATATACGGAAGTAATTTTTAAGTTGATGCTAGATAAGGAAGTTCAAAATTTCCAGAGGCCAATTAAGCGATTTGTTTCAGTGCCAAATAAAGAATTCTCTATAACATGGGTATGGTTAGTCTATGATCACTGGTCTGGGATTGATATATATAAACTATTCAACTCAACACGGTGCAACTTGGCTACAAGTTGGCTACTTGGCTTAATCTGTAGTACTTGGCTGCTAAGTACCGCTTTCCTTCGTTTCAAAGAACCAAACTTAATGATAGTTGACTAATGATTAATTTAACATTTGTAGGTACAAAATTGACAATGGATTTATATTTAAATCTACTATTTTTTATTATATATGTTTCCACGAGCAATGAAATATAAGAGACCCGGCTCATGGAGTAATATTTGGGAATCTTCTGTCTATTGCTCTCTCCATTTTAAAACATAAGACGTTTTGACTTTTTTAGGCATAGCTGTTTTTTCTTTTTTCTTTTCTTTTTGTCGTCCCCAAGGGTGGCTGTCGTCCCAAAGGGTGGCACGGGCGAACTCCTGCTCGCCGCCCAGCTCCCTCGTCCTCACCATCTCTCCAGCCATGCCGCTGCAAGAGCCGGCTGCCAGAGGGTCGCGCGACAGTGAGGACGGCGGTGGCAAGGCTCTTTGGAGTTCTCTTTCCTCCGGTCTGTTGGTGGCTGGTGGTGCGTGCTTGCGGCGACATTCCTCGACATGGGGGCAGTGGTGGCTCGTCGATACGATGGTGCAGCGGTCGGATCCGTTGCTCCCTTGGTCGGACCTATGGAGGGTGACCCCGTGGCGGGAGGCCGGTGCCGCTGCTATATGGTTTTGGCGCTCCCGGTGCACGGCGATGGCAGCGGCGGCGGCGGCGG